GATGTAGAGTTTTAACAAATGTCTGCTCCATCACAAATTATTTGGATGAAGGGAAAAAAACTCACAATTCCTAATTAATCATTGGACATCATCTACAGGCGCATAAATCTATCAAAAAAAGCATGGACGCAGTGTTGCTCCAATAGACAAGTCATAATGCAGTAGGTTTATAGGGACCTGGCAGGCATATACTGCTAATTACAAGGAGCTAAGGAGTCTAGTGTTTGCAGTGATAAGATCTTTAAAGGTTAAAGAAACTGACAGATATTAGTAAAGTTAAATTAAAGGTAGTTATACTTACGGCTCTTAGATAAAATAATTATCAAATCCACCCCATTTTAAAGATGTTTTTGTGGGAGATCAAAGATATTTGCCAAAATCATCGCCACAGGTGTCCAGTGCGCATGTGCAACGAAGAGGATGCAACAGAGGAGATTGATGAACGATAAACATGATACATGCGTACACGTCTAAAAATGGATCACCTTTCCACGCCACGCGCTTGAACCAGAAGCATATCTGTAAGTAATTACTTTGTCTGTTACATACATACCTGAAGATCTACAAACCGCCATGTGTTCGAATTCACTCTCAGGAACAAACAACATCGATGACCACTCTCCGTCAAATTTAATGTTCACGCACATCGACAACCACCATACTGTACCAGCAATAGTGGGATAAGACAGCATAAGACATAAACACACCCTGAAAACATGTTTTTTCTCCTTTGTTTATCAATGGTCTTGAATTTATCCGCATTACAAAATATGTTTCAATGTTCATACACCACACTTAATTAGTTAAAATGGCATCTGAATATTGAAGACATCTTAATTTATGAGAAAGGTAGTCTGGTGACTGAGGGGGGGGGGGTATTAACAAAACAAGCACAAATGAATTTTTTTTCCAAAATCTTTTCAATGTATTAATAAACTATTTATGTATGAAAAATAAATTTTTAATATTACACAAGGCTTACGCTTTTTATCATGATTTATTTTATTTTTAATGTATGCTTTCTTACAATACAAATGTATAGAGTAGCTGTCACAGGAAGTCGTCCTGTATCAACTCTTTAGATCCGCTCCACCACCAGATCTATTTATAGATCTGTAATGTTACTGTAGTATATGTTGTCCACGGGAAAACAAAAGCTTTAAAATACACAAAAATAATTATCGAATTTAGGGCACTAAGGTGAACCACGATGGAACTTAGTGATGGGGTAAGAGTGAACGTTGCTATGTGATGTCTTGATTTATCCATTTTACTTTAGGTTTGCTTTCACTTTCAGTTATTTGCTATTTGTTATTTTTCTTCATAACATTAGAGTTATCTTTCTTTGGTTCCAAGTGAAATGGATGATCCATGGAAAGATCTGACGGATCCAATTTTATTGACACTATTCTCCTACCTGAATGTACAAGAATTAAACAATGCTGCCAGGACTTGCAAGGTAATATCATATTACACTATATGTGCACACCAGACAATTATAATAAATTGCAAATGTACGGATCTCATTATCTAGGCCTAGTTTTAAAGGATATTCTAACTTTCGTGCAGTAGGCCTGTATTTTTTTTTTTTTACATTCTTATATGTGATGACCGTCAAACTTTTTATATGCCAGGCATTTATTATTTTGACCTACATTCATATAAAAGCAAAAAGTCGTCCCTTTCTAGTAATAACTATGAGTTGAACGATGTAAGGTCATAATTATGAAAAACATGTTTGCACTGAAGAATATAGAAGTATGAAAAAAAGGAATATAATAGTGATCAATTTAAAAAAAAATTAAAAGATACAAATAATACAAATCTGTGAACAGGGTCCACGGACCTGAGGAAAATCAAAAACCTTCTTTTGATCTGACACACTCCCTGATCATATTTGTGTAAGAAATAAGGTATCATTTTAAAACATCTATCGGGATATAAATACGGGTCGGTCACGAGATTAAATTCCATAAAGCCCGAAGGGCTTTATGATGAACTTAATCTCGTACCGACCCGTATTTATAGCCCGATAGATGTTTTAAAATGATACCTTATTACTTATATTTACATTTGTGACTTATTCATCCTTTATATTTACCTGATTGTGACTTTTAACGTGCGAAATGCATTATTTTTCAAACCCAACGGCAAGTGTGTAATCCACTGAACGCGCGTCGACCCTTTATGACGTCACTGAGAAATTACGTCAAACGTTTATCCATACGCACATCTATGACCTCTTGACCCCGTACCTGTATTTATACAGTTATAGATACGCATTGCTTTCAGTAGTGTTATATAAAGGAAAACATTTGCAAATGTAAATATTTGGAAATACATTGGTCAAAATACGACTCAGTGATAGGATACATATTTTTTTCTAGCAAGTTTATTATTATTTATGGATCATTTCGAAATGCTGACTTTAAAATGTTGAAATCCCTGTAACGTCATTATTTGTCAATAGCCTGTCTCGGTAAAATTGATCGCATTCAGAGCATGCTCCTGCTTATTGAATTATTTGGGAGACATAACACCATATGCAGGCAAAGAAGGAAATCTGTTGATGGACAGTCATTTCGTTTCTCTGAAAGTTAATTAGTCCGTCATTGACTTCTTGAGGGAGTAAAATGTCTAAATATGAATAGATATAACAGAATCTGTGTTGTCTTCAACACGCCCATAGCACTGGAGATTTAAAAGTATCCCCAGTAAATTCGAATTTTTGACCGGTTTGTGAATCAGAATTTTACGACATGGTTCGGGTCTAAATTTCAAAGCCTTGGTCTCAATATTCAACAATGAAATTGAACTATTGGGTCAGTTTTCAACTCGGATCAAAATTTTTCGTTAATCTGACTGGCCTTTTTCAGAATTGGTGTCGTATTGCTCAAGATGAAAGTTTATGGAGAAATCTGACTTTAAAAAGACTTGGATGTCAATATCTGCGCAAGGAGGATAGTTGGAAATTGGAGCTGAAACGTTTAATTTGTCACGTCCCAGTGCATCTGCACCAAACATGCACAGATCACGTGGACGAGGTCTACAATGTATGCTTCTCTAACAGTGGAAGTCTTATTGCTACGTGTGGAGCAGACGGCATTGTAAATGTAAGATTTCTTGTTCTTCCTTTAATTGGTCATTTAATCCCAACTCTTTAAATTTTTCTATTTCATTAATAAAAATAGCGATGACTTGAATGAAATCGTACTTTGTTTTCATTACCTCAGGTTTTTATTCTCGATATTTTGCAGATTTGGAAATATGGGATTAACACAGTGTTGTTAATTTCAAAGAAAGTTACAGACGACCCTGATTATGTGAACTACGTTGAGTTTAACGATGCAGAAACACACCTTCTTGTTCATTCTACAAGCAGAAGTCTCGAATATGACAGTACATTAGCTGTGCTTTCCATCCAAAGAGGTAAAAAGTATGTCAAAAAGCCCATGGTTTTATCTTTTTAAAAAAGTTCTTTTAATAATGAAGAGTCGGGTTCAACAGTATAACCTTGCTCAAAGTATGTTTAAGTTAAATTCACTACTTGAGACCAAGAGTCAGCTCTGAGAGTGTAGTAAAGCATATCTTGAATCTTAATGAATCTTAACTGACGTCTTTCGTGCAAATTGTAGGACATACTAGTAACCTATACACATTTATCTCACGGGAGCTAAAAGCTCATCTGAGTTGTTTTACCGCTGTCCAACGTCCTTAAGTATGCCTATTTATTTGTCTGTCTATCTAACCTTCTGTAAACTATGGGATATGACCCATGAACTTCTTGTTTTCCATTTACCAGCTGTTTTCTTGATCATGATATGTCGCCATACGGCGAGTTTGGATTCGGTTGGGGGGGGGGGGGGTGTGTGTGCTATGAGGGAATTTCATCTTTACAACACTGCATGGTACCTTCAATCCTCCGAAATATCAATAAAGGAATTACACATTTAGAAGTATATTTTCCTCGTCTTTTTAGATATTATGTATATCGTGGCAGCCAGACATTCCGGCGTACGACATTTCAGAGGAACATGGCTGAACAATGAAACCTTCTTGAATGTAAATAAATCCGATCTTTTCCCTCCTTATGACGTAGTATTAACCGCATGCAGGGTGAGTATGTCTTTTTGGCACATACACTGTAACTGTTTAAATGTATGTGATTCAATTTCGAAAGAGATATTAATGTTCAGGAATTATGGCATTTTTAACCTTGTTAATATGGAATTCTCTTTTAAGTTTCATGAAGACGTCTTTGATGAAGATGACCGTCTTTTATCGGAGCTACGGATCCCGGACTGTTTCTCAAAACAAAATGTAGACACAAAAGATCTTCTAAAAATTGAACAAGTAGGGTTCAATCCTGATTTTGTTAAAGTCATAGACTGGTCAGAGTGGAATTCTTCGTCAAATGAACCAAAGGACAGTTCTGCCACAAACGTGATAGTTATAGCGCTCTACAAACAGAGGCTAGATCGGTCTGGTGAAAACGGAGCAGTGTTTTATAAAGTTAGCTTAGATTCGTTAGAATCCTTGGTGATAGAGCCAATCAAAACTGTTTTAACAAATAGTGCGTGTCTGGGAGTTCAGCTTTCCGCTAATCACAGGTAACATCCATCTCAGCCAATATGTTTTTATGACCCGCCATGAGTATGGCCAGGACCACTTGCATTGTTCGTCATCTTTTTGTTCCATCTGTCCTTCGGTCACACTCGTTAAACCCAGTTTGAAAGACTTTTCAAGATATTTTTGTCACACCTCATATCCTGATAAAAATTGATGAGAACTATCCAACTGGTTCAATATTTTTTGATCTTGATCTTTCCTTTGACCTTGACCCCATTTTCAAAAAATATGTTTAGCTCAGTTTCAAAGATACTATTCAACTTTCAAGACATTTTTATTAAGCCTTACCTGCCGATACATATTAGAGAGTGAGAAAGAGAGAGAGAGAGAGAGAGAAAGCTATTCCATTTCATCAAGAAATTTTAACCTGACATTTCTTTTGACTTGAACCCCACTTTTTTGAATTTGTGTTTAGAAAAGTTTCAAAGAAACAATTTAAATGGTTTATTAAACTTCATACTCTTATCCTTGATTATTAAATATATTGAATTTAACCAAAACATTTGACCCTGACCTTTCCTTTGACGTTGACTTTACTTTTCTCAAATGTGATTCCAGCCTAGATTTAAAAGAAAATTGAAATCAGAATAATTTTATCAAACTTCATTTGGGGATACTTTTTGTTGAGTGATTTAAAATATATAAAAAATTTTATGATCTTGATATTTTCTTATTTTATTTAGTTGAAAAGAGATTTTTTTTTTTAGAAATTTAATTTAGAAATGCTGTTAGTTAATTATTAACTATGATAAATTCTAAATTGTTAATATTGTAGTCAGGGCTCTCGAGTTTCTATAATTGGGGCCATTTATGGGCCCCATTCCCAATTCAAAAAAAGGTACATTTTTTCCCAACTGAATGTGTTAATTTTACCAAAAGTCATTTTTCTCTAAAATTAAAGAAAATATAGTAATAATTAAATTTGTTTTTCACATTCCTCTGTGTCGCAAAACAATAATTAAGTTGAAAAAAAAAATCAACCCAATATATCATGCAGATAAAGAATAATGGTTATCCCCAAATTTCCCAAAATGTTGCTATTTTTCCCAATTTTGACGGACCCGGACCCATTCCCAAAGAGTGTCGCGAGAGCCCTGAGTAGTTTAGAATGTAATTCAAATCTGAACATTCAAAATTATGTGACATCATCAATGTTAAAAGGTACATGGTATACAACTTGAGGCGACTTTCAACTGAAGGGGTCTACATCATGCACGAGAAGGATGTCGTTACCATGGTGATCAGTCTGGAAAACACTGAAGAGCAACCGGAAATATTTTGTGACCCCAAACCTGCAGATGATTCATTAACAATATCTTACTTCTTTCCAAGTGTGTCTGAAGACCTCGTCGCAAAGTATACATTTTACAATTATTATGTAAAGGCTTTATGCATTTCATCGATAAAATTCATATTGAAATCTTATGTTTATAATTGTGTACAAGATTTAGTCTTTTTACATTATTTTTTTTACTTCTCAGTGAATCTGAACCGGATGTTGTTTTCCTATGGGATCGTCACTCGCATAAAGTCGTTTCCAGGTTACACCATCACACTGGTGTGAGTGCTGTTGCCTTCCACCCACGTGACCAGGAAGTCCTAGCTAGTGTAGCAGACGATAAAAAACTCAGAATATGGACGTCTTTGAATAGAAAAGAGAGCTATATAATTGATTAATATCTGGAATATAATGTCGCATAGCGCCATCAAATTCATTTTTTGTACATTGGATGTTTATTTCGTGATAGTTGTACCACCTAGAAATCTTTTGTCTATCATTTATATCAACAAGATTTTGCCTCAAACAAGTCCGTTATGGAAATGCCAAATATTTGTTATTTTTGTGAAATACAGGGAGAGGAACGAATCACAAACATCATTGGCTAGCAAAGATGCATGTACACATCAAGCTCTTAAATACAAATGTGTAAAATTCAATTGAGAATACTTTCAAATAAACTCTCCGTAAATACAATTAGGATAAATCTGTTTCATGCACCTGATTGAATTCTACGTCTGGAAAATCCAACTTTTAATCCTATAGCGCCATGACAAAAGTATTCCCAATTTGTAAAAAAAAAAAAAAAAAAAAAAAAAAACGCGCTTCAAGGAACATAATAATATGTATGATGTGTAATTAGATTTCTCTCTTTGGTGTGCAGTGTAGAGAGGGTTCTTAATACAACCATTCCTCACGATAAATTTAAATTAGGTTTTCATTATAATAGACAGTGTTCAGCTTCTTTAATAAAAATGAAAGTCAGACATTTTCCTTCCTTGTGATTGGTCATCAACAAAATAACTTCGATGTAAATTCGTTCGAGTCGACTCACAAGTACTCTGAAGTTGATAATAAAATGTTGTTTGAGTTCCTCATAGACTTTTTGTACCAGGTAGTCTTCTAGGAACAGATTTTCCAACATTATTTTGCAATATTCCGATGGGCACTAGTTGTATTATCCGGTCTTTTTGTTTAATCAGATGAAGCAGATTCACGCACGAGAAGAAGAAATCCTTGTTTTTTGACCTTCAACTCAACATTTAGATATATAGACGATGTATTATATCAATTCACAATACTTACTTCCATTCATATGTCGATTCGGTATATCCTAGTGAACTTGAAATAAGTTACCTCGGATTCTGCCACATCTGTATCCTATTTGGATGTTTTTCTGACTATAGACGAAAAGGGCCAACGATAACAATTTAACTGTGTATGACAAAGCAGATGAATTCATCTTTTTATCGTCAAATTTCTTTATCTATATATCACATTGACACACATATATATTTACTATAATAGTAATATTTTGCTATCATCTTCTTTGGTGTTTATATCTCCCAACTCTTTCAATACTCAGTAGGATGCTCTGGATACACTCGATTTTTAATCCGATGCAGGCTACTGACAGATAAGCGGATACTACAGGGATTTCGACAACCCTGTTTTGGTCATATCACCCACTCATCTTAGAAATCCGTCATCGAATTCTATGAGTTAAGGAAATGCGTGATGCATGTTCCAGTGGAATAGTGGGCCTGTGCGTTGAGCGCCAAATGTCACAGGAGATGAAAAATCAAGTTTCAACCGGGACTCGAACCCAGGGCCTTTGACGAAACGTGCCAGCGCTCTAACCACTACTTATACTACCAATACTTATTTTATTATATCCGAAAATCCTGAATGTATGGTCATTGATTGTCGAAGTGTCAATTTTTGTGGGGTATTATTATAATAGTTCAGTGTGATTTGAGGTACCCAGCCAGTTACAAATTCAAATGAATATGTCAATGTTGTCTGTTCTGCAGTAACCTGGAGTAAAATGTATTTATTTTAGATCAGGATTTTTGGATCCGTGCCTAAATCTATAAATAGATAATTGTTTTGATCCGGTTGCCTCACTGGATACGAGGAAGCGAACGGTTAAATATTTTGATATTTTCCTTTATTTGATGGAGTGAAAGGAAACAGAAAACTATATGTGAACATAGTCAGATGGTGAGTTGTTGTTTTAGATACATTAGATGGCCGTAATTTAGTAAGATTATGGTTCTTATTTTGTTTTGTACTGGTGTCAGCTAATTAAAGAGTTACCTCCCTTAGATCGACAGTGCGGACGAGAACTGCTGGGAACATCTGACTGATCCAGTTCTACTTCATATATTCTCTTATCTGGACAAAAATGAGTTAAACAACGTGTGTAGAACGTGCAAGGTACATGTATATTGTTTTCTATGATTCGCTTGTCTGTAATTTTTCTTACCGTTTTATAGAACATTATCCTATTACCTTAATTATTATACCCCCCGCTTGAAAAGTGGGAGGGTATATAGTAATCGTTAATTCCGTCCGTCCGTGTTTACGAGAGTGCATTTATTGGGTATTTTTCATGCCAAGATTGTACTTATTGGGTACTTTTTGCTTATTGGGTATACCCAATAAGAAGTGTCGCTGAATATGCTTAAAACACCCTAATTGGGTATTTGCAGGTTAGTACCCAACAAAACTTGGACACGACGATTTGTCCAAAAAAGTGTCCAAAAAAGTTGCTTTCACGGACGCACCGTGTTTTGTTGTTTCAGTTTTACATTCGGAACTCTAAATTCTCGAAAGTTCCGAAAATCAACTTCCGTTGATCCTGATCATAACAACGTTTGTTTTCATGGAAAAAAATATGGCGACTAAGAAACACTTAATGTCAACAAGATTTTCTGACTGACAAGAGAAAAGGTAAGTTTATTCGATTAATATCTATCCATTGCTGGGTTCTTGTTTAAGGAAAATAGATTTTAATGTAATTTTGAAAACAATTGTGCACAAAATTAAAATAGATATATCGGAACAATTAATCTTAAGTTGCACTTGTTTGTATTTTGAATTTTCTCTGTCTTTTTAACTCTCTTGAGGGCGAGAAGTATTTAGTAAATGATCGTATATTGTTAGATACTATAGTAATCTTTCATAAATCGAAAGTGTTAATTATTTAATTTTATATCATAACCAACTAAGTATGTTCTGACAATGTATATTGGAAAGGGAAATGAAAATTTTAACAATCGTGTGTTCATAAATCAGCTGTAAATTATCGATTCATGTAGACAGTATTACAATCGCAAAGTGAGCTGAGATGATGATAAATGGGATAATTGACAACAGCTAAATAATTGTATGTAAGTTTATCTCATCTGATATGTAACTTAAGAGATTCATTGTATTACTGAAAAACTTTCAGTCAAAACAGTGTTTCTTTCTGTCTTTGATTTTGACTCAAATCAAAAAAGTGCTAAATCTAAAGCAAACTAGCATGGCGCGGCGCCATGCCCTTTTTTCTCGGCACCATGCCCTTTTTTCCAGCGCCATGCCCTTATTTCCTAACACAAAATTAATAAATATGCCCAGTTTAGGCAATATTCATTTGCTGTTCTGTTTATTCAGTGCATGCTGATAATCACTTTGTTTAAACAACCACAGGAAATCACTTCACGCTTGAACGCACGCACACAGCCACCTGTCTAATTAACATGCCTCAGGCTGTCAGGGTAGAGGATTTAATTTGAGAAACTATCATTTGATTGCATTGATCATGCAAGAATTAGTCCAAGACCAAAGATAAATAAACTTGTAAATTTTATTAACTAATAAAAATCAGGATCGTTTTTTTTATAAACCGAAAGTAGAATAAAACACATAGTTCAACTTGAAGAAAAAACGGATATTTTATCTGAATAAAATACTTACAGTGTACCAAAAACTGAATGTGATATGATAAAAGGCTTAAAAACAACAAACTAAGTTAGTTTCTTTGATTGAACTGATAGATTTGACAAGCTGAGGGTCAAAGTTTCTAATTAAAGTCAGAGTTTTTTTTTAAAACAAATTATGCATGGCAGTAAGACCAGTTTTCACATGATCCTGTTGGTAGAATATTTTCCAAGTAAAGAGAATGGTCTCTACATGTATTTTTCAAAATGCCCATCCCCCTTCCCTGAAAAAAAGTATTTTCCTTTAATCTTTAAATTGACTATACTTGTAAACAAATAACAGTCCAAGCAGGTAAAAAAAAAACAATCATACCTCCAAACTTTAATAATTTTTGCACCTCTTTCAGCTAGATTAATACCATTACTTTCTTAAGTGTAATCTTACTACTTTTTTTTTGGAATAAATTGGATGTAAATGCCTTTTTATATTATTTTTGTTTCTGAATCAATAATTAAAACATTGTTTAAAAAAAAGAATGGAATACAGATATATGAATTTTTCTTTAAATAACTTGTTTTAAATAAAGATTTCAATATGAAAGGATATTAAAAGTAATTAAACATGTTAAAGTATGTGAAAATTAAAAAATGTTAAATATAATTTCAACGACATTAACATTTGTTTTCAAAGTGCCCTCTTGAGATCCTGTCGCGACACAAAATGCCCTTTTGATTCCTTGATTACCATGCCCTATTTAAGGTCTAGATTTAACACTTTAAAAAAAAAAAAAATGAGTGTCTGCTTTATTTTGATTTTTTTTTAATTATTGTTTTTGTCATTTGTTTTAATTAATTTAAAACAATACTGAAATTGATATAGGGCTACTATAACTATTTCACATGATGGGTGTGTAATTAGCATCGCGCTACACCCGGGGCTTCCATTTTTGAGGATGGGGCTAGTGTTTTTCTGCACTGAGGAATCCCCTTAGGCTATTAGGATTTTTAAAATACACATCTAATGCATGAAAAGCACCACTGGTAATTTCACTCTTTTTTGCTATTAAATTCCCTAATATGGAAATATTCCAGACTGCGCGCATGCTCATATTATCCATAAATCTCCACAACTGCATCCATTTTGCAGTACTACAAGACTGATTTACTTAAAAACGATCTTTTATTTCCTAATTTGAATTTCCCCCTTTCCTTTGTTTAATATAGCAATATTTGCTTGTACATATATGCCTCTCAGATATCTCATTATTAAATTATATACATTCACTCAATCAGCTCAATGATAAGTGTCATGCAATTATGTAGAGTTTTTTTTAAAGCCATATATGGCGTAACTGATCAAAAAATATATTTTTGAAAAATACAAAATTAAGTACAGAAATATAGTTAATACATTTAAATTAAAGCTTTTCATACAATTCGGAGCACGTAGAACACCTCGTTTTATCTAATAATACGATTTTATCTTCTCTGTAATGTGTTATTTAAATCTTTTGTATTTTCTTCTAAGTCGGAGAATATTCCGAGAATCCAAATCAAATTTTGATATCTTAATATCGCAATTGACTTAGATTTTGTAATTTACGGAAATTTTCTATCTTTATCATGTTTATTTAAAGTCATGATACAAATAATAAGTTCTTATAATTTTAGTCTAATAATTTTCATTGTACATAAGCCATATATGGCTTTAAATGATTCAAGATGAAAACAAAATGATTTTTGCTTCGTATTAATTAGACGAACTAGTGAAAGACCAGAAAAGGAATATTTACCGTATATACTCGCCTATAAGTCGGTCCGCCTATAAGTCGGTTGTATTTAACAAGCTTATATCATAGATACTGACCTCATATAATACCATTCATTTCATAGCTCGCCTATAAGTCGGACATAGAGTTTTGGACCAGAAATTAACTCCCAAAAATCCGACTTATAGGCGAGTATATACGGTAAAATCTTTTTTT